ACCTGTCTGGACAGTCACATCAGGCTCTTCGGAAACGCCCCTGGGTTTTTTCGCGGCGGATTGCAAAGTGTCCGTGGCCTTACGCTTGGAACTAGACCCGCCCTGGGAAGACTGGGCAGCATTCAGGCCGGAAGATAGAACTGCTGCTCGGCCGAGTTAGTTTAATCTTGTAATCAATAATACAATCACTTACGTGCAGTGTCGGGCGTTTGGGTTGCTGGGGTCTGCGTAGGACCTCCCGCCAGATCTTCAGCCTTGAGATGATCCACCGGCAAATACTCTGGTTTGGTAGGAACATAGTCTTTAATATGATACGAAGAGGGCGGCAGCGGTTGAATCCCTGGCTTCCTCCCTGCCGTCTTTCTCTTGAACTCGATGCAAGCTAGAATATCTTCCCAGGGGAGTGATGCTGGCGGCTTGGACAGCGCATTCTTCATCATGTGAGCCTTGCGCTTCTGTTTGCCCTGTTTGCCGCCCTTCTCATCCTCGAAAGGAGCACATGCGCTCTTCAAAGGAAGAATGACGCAGTCGGGTTTCCGAATTGATTTCACGTCCTGGTGGTTTTGATACATGGGCATGTCGTTCTGCTGACAGATCATGTCTACAGCGGGGACAGGAGCCCGCATCCCGTCAACCTTGATCTCCTCAAGACAAGCGAGCGCGATGTTGGTGGCTTCTATAAAGGGGCCGTAGAAGTTGTTTTCTGCTCCTGGACCAGCGCTTACAATCATTGTGAGCAGGAAAACGTCCGATCAGCAAGGGGACGCTCACTAATTTTTCAGGGCTGTCTCAATACCCAAAGAGTGTATGCCTCTAGCGGAGACCTGTCCATTGCAAACCGGAAGAACTGCCTTTAGGCACTTTTGCAGGAGCTCAGGCTGTTTAGTCTCCGAAGCGCAAGAAGCCCGCTGCAGGAGGGCTTGTAGCATTGCGTCTGCCTTGCATTGCTTAACCTGCTCAATGTCACGCCGAATCCATGGACGGATGTCCCTAACCCTTGATGGAATGTTAGGTACTACTTAATACAAATAAGAAAGGTGCGCACCTGACACCGACCAGGCCGATGTTCTCGCTCACCACGGCAGCCCCACGGCTGTTTGGAGTGGATTCTATTTTGCTAGCACCATGAGCTGGTGCATTGGCGCGAGGTGGAGTAAACGATGTGCTTGTCTCGCCGGCAGGGGACATGACGCTAGGTGTTGTGGATGGGACTGGTGAAACTAAGAAAACAAGAAAGAGCGACCGCTTCCTCTTCCCTTATATCTGCCTGGCAAATGTGGCGCAAATATTGTGGCAGCCCATCCATCAATCTGATGGGCGGTTGTGGACCTACTCAGGCAGTGACGACGCGTTCCCATCAACACGCGCACGTGACTCTGACTTGCCGCATAAATCAGGATCATCCCGGTCAGGCAGAAAAGAAGTACAGCCACAGCTTCCTTCGGCACTGGACGGAGGTTCTGGGACTCCACATGTAGCTACAGCCAAGTATTCGTGCAACGACGTCCCGAGTCCCAATACATCGACATCACATGTCTATTTGCGTCTGAAAGGTAGAATGAGTAGCAAATAACTCAACCGATGTCGAGTAACTGTAGAATAACATTATGAACAGTTGAATGCGCGTAGTTAGGAAGTCTGATAGAATCATCAAAATCGGCGACAGCGAAGCCGTTAGAATCAGACAAGAGTAACAATGGGTATAAAGACAACTGCCATATATCACAATGGTACCCGAAATCACACGAACTTCTTTTCTGCGAACATCTTCACTGAGTATACCATTGTCCTGTAGCTCCACCTTTACGCCCTCGTTGGCAATAATTTCATCCTTGACGAAATCTTGGAGAGCCAGACTCCTGGCAGCGGATGCCATAATGAGATGAAGGGTATTTGATGCATCGAAGATGGTCTTGTGAACATGCTCTGGTCGGAAAGGAGTGGCTGAATTGACCTCGGGAAGAAATTAGGTCATTGGCGCGGACTGTGATCAACAGGATTACTTCGTATACACTTGCGTTACCTATACTTGTATATCCTCGTGAAAGAATTGCTAGAGGAATGAGAGCGGTCAATGACTACAATAATCACAGCGTATTTCAATGGCTCATGTTTGCATAAGTCTGATTCAAATTCGTAGGCCCCGGGCACACAACGGAAGGAAAAAAGCAATCTATTGCGACAGCAAGATCGACAGCGATATTCATAGACACAATACATACAATGCAATTTACACCAGGCACTATTTTTTGCCCTTCTTAATACCTTTCTTTTTCAAGCCACTGGCCATGGTAGTCTTCTGAGGCTCAATCGGCGCATTTGCAAGTGCAAGCGCCGTAGGATGGTGCTGCAGCAGAAATTTCTGGTACAAACTAATCATAATGTCTGCTCCATGGGGCAATTGTGAGTCGATGATCCTCCTGAGCAGCGCAGGGATATTCTGGATGACAGGAACAGATGCGATATGCTGGAGTAGGACTTCTACATTCATTTGCAGGATTGCGGGATACCTGACACCGCGAAGCTGGTTAACACTGTGCTATGCCATGATCAAAAAAAGACCGACCTGGATGTAAATGATGAAGAAAGCTCTTGAAGAATATTTTTCGCATCCAAACTGCTACGTATGGCATGGAAAGCTTGGTCGCGAAGGCTGTCGAGTCGAACCTGACAATTGTGTCTTAGGATGTGTGGAGAGTATCAGGTAAATTGACTCGAACCTTGGAGGCTAAACAATACATCGACTTCGGTGAGCAAGGCCACGAAGTGCTACGGTTTGGGGTCTCCACATCAGTTCTGGGCAGTCCCTGGGACTTGATTGGGAAGAAGGAGATTTTGTCCGTATACAGATACAGCAAGAGCGCTTTCAATCTGTATATACGAAATCAAGTGCCCGCCACAATTGTGATAACATGTAACTTACGTCCTGAAGGCCGTGTCTCGCACGAGTATGTTCCGGTAGTTGACAGCTTGTGGTTTATGTTGAATTGGAGTAGGAGCGATAGGCGTTTCTGCTTGTAGTGGGCTGGTCAAGGCATCGCTTTCGGATCTAGTGTCTGCCACAACCAGTAAGTCGTCGTCGTCTTCATCGTCGTCGTCATCATCATCTGATTCACTGATGTTTCCTTGCAAAAGGCATGAAGATTTATGTTGCTGATATCGGTTTGAATCACTTACCCTTGAGGACGGAACTCACATCGCTGGGAGGCGTCTGACTAGCTTTTTCCTCTTCTTCATCTTCAAGATCGCTGTCAGATGTGTATCCGTAGTCATCAAGTGCTATTCCATCTTCGAATTCTGAGCCACCATCGAAGTCGACAAATGTGGCGTCAGGTGATCCCGTCCTGGACAATACTTGTCAACTTTAATGAGCGAGCTCACCACCTCCATGAGAAAAAAAAACTTACGTTCGGCAAAAAACACGGAACGTGCTGTCAGGACAATGTCGTTGGCGGACAAGTCTTGGAGTCGGATGACTTTACGTAGATGTGCTGAGCGGCCTGAGAATACGTGGAATTTTGTATCCACGAGCTCTTGGCCAAGAATTGATTTCATCAAGAGCGCTTCGACAAGCGCTTGATGGTTCGACATCGTGAAGTGCTGGAGAGTTGGCTCGAGTCTTTATTCTTATACTCGCTCTGGGCGCTAATCAAATTGCGCGTACGGCAGGACCATTTGTTCTTGGAGTGAATCTAGTAGTATGACACCTTCGAAGCGATGCCAACACAATCATTATGACACTTAAAGTTACAAGGGCGAACATCAGTCCATTGAAGTAGGTTCAAAAGTTCAAACAACCGTAGATATCGGACAGTGATCATCGTTCCGACAAAGCGTTCACACTGGAAGTATCGCTTAACGACCGCGTCTATGGCGTTGATGAGATATTAATTCAGAAAGTTGCGCATAGGAACACCACATACATATGCTTCCTCGAACCATAAGTAGATACTCGTGTGAATCTGGAGGCGTGTTTTGAGTGCGATAACGCTTCCTTTGACATTTCCACGCGTGAAGATCGAATGTCCGGACTCAGTCTAAAAATTGAAAGGGCACTTCATTCCTATTAGCAGGCACTACCTTCCTTCGTCTACAAAGGCTTGTCAGATCTCGAGTAGTGGTTTCCATGATCTGTGCGAGGTCCATGTTCTCCGGTGTGCGGGCTGGCAGGTCGGAGTAGTCAAATCTAAGTGATAGATTTGAAGTCATATACGTAGCAAAGGACCAGAGTGTGAGGCCCTGCAGATCAGCAGTTTCAACATCACATAGTGAGTGTGGGGGCTATATGTAGGACGCGAGAATCTTAGCAGCCGCACTAGTACTGGTTGCTGGAGTCGACCCGGAACCTGACTCGATATAGAGATTGGAGTTGGCACTGTATAACTCATGCCTTGGCCGTCTGCGCTGATATGAGTCTGAATATGTTACCAACTCTGCGGAAGGCTTCGGTAAAGGCGAGTTTCATTGCACCAGAATCCAGATACGTTCGCTAATACTTTGTTGCAGCAGCTCGGGCGTTTGGCAAGTTTCCTTTTTGACCGAACTAAGTAGGTATTATAACCAATGGTGTTACAACAAGGACAAGGTGGTCCAGGAGCTTATATTACTTACAGCAATCAAGCCACTTGGACATGCTCAGGATAATGCGAGACTCTTGCCTGCTACGCTTGCTCAGGCTCTCATGCCAGCTCTGGTGGCGCGTGAAAAACCCAGTGTGATGATAACCCCCAAGGAGCTGTCTGGCGTTGAGGCAGAAAAAGAAGTACAGCCACGGCTTTGTACCAAGTTAGGCCTTTCGACAAACCGCGACATCTAGCGAGCCTGGGAAAGTATTCGTGCGACTTCCCAAAACGTCTGGTCGAGGACATCAGGAAAACCCTCCTAAGGCAATTTTCCATAAATTTGCTAAAATTCACATAAAGGTACAACATTCGGATAATTACAGCTAAGGATGCTAAAAATGATAATTTCGGAGGTGATTTTTCAACGATTAGCGATCATTATCTAAATTTTGAAAAAGTATGTCGATCTATGTATGGGTTAAACCAGAAGGTGTCACAATCCTCAAGCACTGTGTCACTCGTCCAGTCTCGCGGGGCCGTGACGCCAAATCTTGGAATAAGGTGCACACTGCGCTCGATATCCGCCACCGATACAATACTCGTCACTCTGTCACCACCGCACAGAGATCTCGAGAGTTTGAAGAGTCCACTGTTTCGGTCAGGAGCAGGCGAAAATGGTGTGAACCATTCCACATAAGCAAGGTGAGTAGGCACACGGACCATTGGCGGGAAGAACAATGGTATTGATTTTGGTGGTAAGGAAAAGATGACTTGAATTTGACCAACGCGCAAACCTAGGCTCAGTAAACAGTAAGTAATATATAATGCTGACTGACAGTGCCTATTTACATACCTTGAAGATCATGTGTATCTGCACCGAGCCTCACCAGAGCTGTATTGGATTGGTGAGCAACCAAACGAGAGCCCAGCCTCCGTTGTGGTTTTGCATGGACGCAGTCCAAGGTGACACGTGCCTCGCCATGGTCACAGGCATCGACCGAGCGCCACTTGATGTTATGGAAGACAGGAAGTCAGTGGAATGGAAAATGGATGTCGTGTGCCAGCACATCAAGTGCTTGACCACGGAGAGGTGCAGAATGATTGCCTCGACTCTGCTGAGCAATGTAGCATGCAAGGGCCTTGCGAAAGTGAGTAGCACCATAATCTTCAACCAGTTTTTGGAGGCTGACAGCCTTCGCACTGGGGTGTTTCGTCATGACTTGCTCGCGGCTGAATGTCATATCAGGTGGACGTGGATGGTAAGGATTAGACTGGTGGCCATCAGCGAGTCGCCAACTAACATATTTTTGGTGGCATAGGATCTTCTCCCTTCGTTCAAGCCAGCAAGTCATTTGGGCAAACTCATCCTTGTGATTCATAGCACGGTAGGCATCTTTTGTAAGATCGATATGCAGCCGTTCGGTGTACTCCATGTTGTAATTATCAGTTGTGCCGAAGAGCGCGATCATCAGAGGATAGTGTCGAGCAGCGTGTAACTTCGGGAGGTTGAAATTGTTTCGAATGCCGAGGTCGATGAAAATGAGCTTGTTTGCATGAAAAATATCTAGTGCCTCGTCTAATGACTGAAGTGTCTCAGAACTATGGCACAGGTATTGCGCAAGGTATAGGAAGTCGAGTAGCCCACGTACTGCTCGTAGAAGACAACCTGTATTAAGATTGTTGGGGAGGCGAATATCAATTATGATGCCAAGGAGGAATCGGCACATCTGTGCGTGTTCAGTGCCGCTTACACGTGATAAGGTGGTGATACCCTTGCTGAATAGTCGAATATGATGGTTTGGAGGAAGCCGTCGGCAACGAGCATCAATTTCTGCAGCTCCACAAGCAGCCGACAGCCATCCCAAAAGGTGTTTTACCAAGCCCTGATATAGTTGATGTAACACATCAGGCGTGACAGCCTGGAAAATATTTGCGAAGGGGAGATTTTCCCAGAAAGGATGTATAACGGGCTTGATTCCTACTGCAGCACATGCATGAACAAAGGTGAGATTTCCTTGATCGAGTGCCGCAAGTGCATCCAGCACCTCACTGAGTTTTTGTAAGTGAAGTGGTACTGTATTACTTCCCATGTTGTCCGCGTCGACATCACATTTCGGGCACTCGCCAAACTTGATACCGGTAGCTAGGAGTTGCTCGGGATAGTCACCGACAAAGCTCGCGAACAATGGATGGCAGCAGCGAAGAGCACCATCGCTGCTGCGCATGTTGACACCCTCTAATCCAGCATGTTGCAAAGGGGTGAGCACGCGGCTCAAGCATGCATGATACAGGTTTGCAATAGACCGACAGCATGAAGCCTTGTTGGTGATGTGTTCCAGTTGGGTCGTTGGTAGATAGGCTAGAAGGATATGACTGCCAAGTGAAGGTTTACGCCGGATGTCTTTTGGAATATTACCGATTGTGAGATATATGGGGTATGCGGTCTTATTGCAAAACAATGTGACTTGTGTTTTGTCTGTTGAGATGATAATCGGAATGATGGTTCCACCTGGACATTGCTGATCGAGTTTTTTCTAGCCAGCCGTTATAAGTTAGTACGAAGTCTAATTGGTGTCACGCTCAAGAGTTCATACCTGTGTGTTCCACCACCATTTCCCAGTATTCATGTCATGGAACAGACAAACGGTCTGATCTTCATCAGCGTAATGGTGCTCAGGAGTAAATGTAAGGTATCTTGCGAAGTCGGGATCGCCATACAATGACTTGATACATTCAATGATGTCACGATGATAGACATCAAAAGATTCTCCTGCAACAACAATTTTTTCTCATTTGAATTTTGGGCGTCCAGTCGGAAGTTCGTGGTCGATAATCTTGTTGAGTTCGTTTGCGTTCTTGAATGATAACCCTAGGCGCTCACCAACCTAGTAGAATTAGCCGTTAATTGGATACTCGTGAAACAAACAAACAAATACTTCACTCCGTCAATGGATAGCAAGTCCAAAAACACTGTCAAACTCGATCCACGAAGCTTCGCCCATCTTGCAACCTCCCATTCAATCTTGGAAGTGAAAGGATAGTATATGTTCTCATCATCTGTGAGATGTGCCATGTATGCCGCATTAGCAGCGTGGTCAACTGAATCGTGTAAAATCCTTTGGCCAGTGCATGGATCTGGATAAGGCTCAACTACGAATCCATGCTGGCCTTGTGCACGCTCCTCAACGTCCTGACGAGCATTCCATTGAACATCCTCTAACTTGTCGTGTTCGAAGGCAGGCGTGTCATCTAGTAAGCTGTGATCTTGCTCAGCATGAGGTAGCAAGGGTGCCTCCCATTCAGGTTCGAAGAGGAAATCATCATCCAAGTCATTATCGGTCGCCTCATCCAAGTCACTATCAGTTGCCTGCTCAGCAGGCCATTCTAACTCGTCCTCATTGTAAATTCCATGGTAGTCTCCCTCAAATTCATCTGCGCCATCCATGGCAAATTCGGCTTCATTGTTTGTTTGAGATCGCGACTGGCTGTAGAGTGCTTGACAACGGGGGTCATGACTCTTTGCAAGATGTTGGCTGAGACCGGTTACAGTGAGATCATCATGGCCACAAGCTGAGCATTCCCGATGCATATTCATAGTTATCTAGAGATGGTAAAGTTAGGATAGAGACGACGAAGCTGAGACGATGCATTATACCTGGAGACGATGATGCTGAGATGATGCGTGCGATACCTGGAGATGATGAAGCTGGGACAATGCGTGCGGTGCGATACCTGGAGATGATGAAGCTGGGACAATGCGTGCAGTGCGATACCTGGAGATGATGAAGCTGGGACAATGCGTGCGGTGCGATACCTGGAGATGATGAAGCTGGGACAATGCATGCGGTGCGATACCTGGAGATGATGAAGCTGGGACAATGCGTGCGGTGCAATACCTGGAGATGATGAAGCTGGGACAATATGATGAAGCTGGGACAATGCATGCGATACCTGGAGATGATGAAGTTGGGACAATGCATGCGGTGCGATACCTGGAGATAGTAAAGTTAGGATACCTGGAGACGATGATGCTGAGATGATGCGTGGTATACCTGGAGATGAAGAAGCTGGGACGAGCTAGGAGCGAGGATGACCCGAAGTTGATGTAAGGGATTACTAGTAGGTGACTTAAGGTGTGGTAAATAATGAGCGAGCAAACGAATAAGTTCAAGCACTAACCCACCTAAAGTTAATGCAAGTCAGGGACAGAGATTGTGTCCGAGACTAGTGCTTTGATGGCGGTGGTGAACTGAGACAACAAGTGATACAGTTGGCTGAAAATTGGGCAGAAAAAGACAGTGTAATAAGGTGGTGGTAATGAGCGAGGAGACAATGAAGCTGAGACAATGCGAGCAGTACAATGAGACGTGAAAAGACAGTGACCCGAAGGTCCAAGACCAGGCTGGGCTGAGATTAAGGGGTGTTGAGACGTGAAAAGACGGTGACCCGAAGGTCCGAGACCAAGCTGTGCTGAGACTAAGAATTAGTGTCCCTCACCCGCTACATAAATGCACTGCCTTTAGTAAAATCCTCCGCCCCATTCCCTTCTCTTTGACACTCACACTCGTTTAGTCCCAGCCTTTCCCATTCACTACTTTGACATTCCTTTTATCATTCAAAAAAAAAATGACCACACCTCGTGACCGTCGTGGTACAACAGAACCACGTGGGGCCAAGAAAAAAGCTATAGAAAATGCAGGTGAGCGACCAAGAACACCATAAAAAGCAAAACTGACCTGAGACTCAGTCTGGAAGCAAGATAAACCAAGACGAAAACATGCAACAGCAACAATGGAGACAGCAGAAAGGTCAGGCCACGACCATCCTGCGCAAAAAAAGAGGGCTGGTTCTGCTAGTAAGATGCCAGCACCTAGTACTCAGTCAAGAAAGCCTTCAACATTGAGTGCATCAATTATTCTATATGAAATAAGAGTCAGCACTTACATAAATGAACTTGGGCAGAGCATCAATGCAACTCGGTGGATGCAGACAGCGACTTACTTGACGATATGGAAGTTGCAGTGGTTAATAAGCAAGGTTAGGTCGCTTTTATGTAACAAAAAGGAAGTCTCACATGATGTGCAGTAGCCCCACCTTATCAACGACCTGCCAAACTCTGTCGAACATTTGCCATGTGAGACATCGCATTATCTCAGGATGATCGTGAACAGAGCAGTGCCGACTCCGACAATGCTCAGGACAATCGGGATGACTGGAATCCCGGTGATTCAGATGCTGACCGTGGTAATGAGAGTGCTGGCAGTGGCGCTAGTGAGAATGAAGACCCAGGTACTACTGCGATGCTGCTTTTTGATGAGGTTAGCCACTGCGCCACTAAGCTTGTATGAACTCACAGTTGGTTTGAAGGTCGCATCACTCATCACCGACAAGAAGCAGGAAGCATCATGTGGCACTTCAAAATCGGAGTTTGCGCGAGATCACAAACAAATGACCAAGACTCCAACCTGGGATGATCTTGACGTCAATGATGCTGTTTCGGAGTCTATCGAAGATCCCACCACCGGCGGCGAGTCAGGATTTCTGTCTGACAATGAAGAGACTGTACTGAAACTTACCTCTGACACTCTGAGTCAAGCATCGAAGACTAGAAGTATGGCCTCTCTCGTTCGAACAGAAGGTGGAAAGGTGAAGCTCCTTGATCAGAACTTAGAGACTCGCACACTTCTTCAGTCTGCGATTGTGGAAGTCAAGTGTTATCTTTTTTTCGTACATGGCTATCCCGAACTTCTTGACAAGAATCAAGTCGCACTGCAAACATTGATAGCTGTTGCCACGAAACAAGGCGTGCATGCGATCAAGAAATGTCTTCAATCGGATGAACAGTATGTGGCAAAGCTCTGTAGCTTGGTAAGTTCAACTTGCGCAACTCCAAATCATCCTCTAACTATTGTCAATCATTCGAGGTGGATGCTCGTGTTCCGATAATGCGTCGTGAGCTGAAGGAAGAAGCCTGCACAAATGCCAATGGCTACTTTCGCCTCGGACACAAGGACACCGCAAAAGCGAGAAGACTGTTGGAGAAGCTCGCATACATCTATGTTTTGAAGCTCGACATAGGATCAACATATCTCCTTTTGCCTGTATTACTGACGTTGAAATTAATCAGATCAACAACGATCCTTCACCCGTCAGGAAGAAGCCCTACCAGGGTGAACTTCTGATATTCTTAACGTATTGGCAGCTCTTTTACAACCAGAAGTCCATCGGCATCAAATTTGCAGGACACTTCATCGAAATCACCAACAACAAAGCACAGTGTCCTGAAGTTCCTATCCCCTTACTGGCATTGGTTGCAACTGCGGTAATGTACTTGTCTTCATTGTACGAATATGCCACTTAACTCGTTGCAAAGGTGTATGCAGCCCTTTTGTGGAAGTCGCAAGGCGCACCATCTAAATTCAACTTCACGGGAAACCTGTTCAGCGAGACGTACAACTACCACGTCAGGTTCCTGGAAAAACTGAAGAAGGATGCGCCAACGAAATTCCACTGTATGATGGCCGATATTTACGATGCTGCACAGTGAGTTCCCCTTTGCAAATGTTGCCTCGATGCTTACTCTGCACGCAGGAAGTTGAGGTACAGCGGTGCCAATGCCAGTGACCACACTAGTGAACTGGAAGCATTCGAGCTACTTGACCTTGACAATATGATGGAAGACTAGTAAATTATCCCCCACTCGTATCCATAGTGCACAATATCGATTTGCAAAGCTGATTCCTGTTATCCATACCATGTTGGTCGTAGCACGCACCGTTCTTTATATTAGCCTACCCATATACCCATTTTTAATCAAAGATTAGTCTTTTTCGTGTAACACTGTCTGATTCGGTTGAATCCCTCATCTAAAATCAAACACAATAGCAATAAGTCTAAGATAATGTTTTTGAATAACTTCTAATTCTTTCTAATTCTCGTGTTTTTATCAGGGGGTAAAATAACTGAGCTAAATCTGCTAATGCTCTAATTTGTCTAATTTAGACATAATAACGAAGCATTGGTGCTAATTAGTTCTAATATCTTCTAATTAGCTTAGGAGGCTTTTCCTGATGGATGGGGCCCAGTGAGAACCGGACCTCACCATATCGATGGAAAATGATGGATATATTTACAAATATTGTCAAAGCTACGCAAATCGTGAATTCAGCATATTATCGAGAAAGTTGATGTGCGTCATCTCGATCAAAAGAAGCAAACACACAATATTGTCAATATTGTCTTGCACATTTTTGCGAACATAGGTCAATCAATCATTTGAACACAGCGAAATTCGAATCACTTGTCACTTGTTTGTGTTGTTTTTAACTTGATAAGTGTACACAACGCGTGTCCTTACTTTCAACTACATACTAGTACGATGGCTTCATCCCAGGTTGATCTGGTCCTGGGCCCGTGTCTCTTCCTGTGCCCTGTGTTTCGCTGATTATCGATTACTCATGACGCGAGCAACTCTCTGGAAGCTTCATCCACTGTGCAAACACAGCAGATACCACTCCTCAAGACCGTCTCAATCATGGCAATGACACTGTCGACATGAGCACCGAGGACACAGAAACACCTGTATAAGTAACATGTGCGACCATGGTAAGTCGCCAACTCGTGCTTGTATTATGTTCACAGATACTGATGGTATTGTAGACCTCCTTCCCCGTAATCAAGAACCCTCTGTAAGTCTTCAAAGACCTTGTTCAAACTGGCACTGACTTGGGTACATACAGTGTGAAGCTTGCTGAGCGAAAACGCGAATCTACTGTCCCAAATCCTGCAGTGACCCAGTACATCGAAGAACGGAAGGTATGTCATGTGTCGATCTAGAACACTGTATCAACCTTTGACCTGGAATTTTGGGCTTAGGTCACTCTGCGCACACCGATGGTTGAAGCAGATTGTCGCAAATGGCTCGTCAGCCAATTTCAGGATTTACTGGTCTGGCCTGATTAAAGAGAAGCAGCTGGTACGTACTCCTATGCTACATGTTTCACATGATTGATTTATGTCTTGCAGGCTTATGATCCCAACGCGCTGAAGCTGGTAATGAACTCAACTAAATGAGCACTCATCCTGATACAGCTGTTTACATTTTTTTTCTCAGGTCAAGGACAATATATGGAACAGCAATACAGTCGACATCATCAACAAGATCTCTTCTGGCAGCCTATACTAGTTGGCATCCACCATGGGTGCAGCGGTTGACATCAGGTGGGTTGCTGGCGAGGACCAGGTGCACAGACTGCAGCAGGTAGCATAGTTATGTATATTTCATTTTTGCGGTGTCATTTGTTTGTTCTCGCAATGTATATTAGCGTCGTTTTCATGTGATTTCCGTAGTTTCATTGTGCAATACGACTACATTTAAGAATCTACGATAGTCGACGGAAATATCATATGCGAGAATCGGTGCGAAATCGTGAGATCTCCGTCGAACAGCATCGCTAGAAAATTGACTATAAGTCCCATTCTCTACGCTCATCTACAGAAATCTTACGTCTGTGGCTCATCAATATTTCAGCCGTTTTCCGTCAATACAGTGAGGTCCAGTTCTCACTGGGGGTGGGGCCCCACCACTCTCATGCG